CAGTAGGAAAGGGCCAGACTGGAACGGATCCCAGGGATGGGGGAAGAGTGGAGATTGTTTCCCTGGTCCCAGAGAAGAGATTTGGGGTGCAAATCCAGCCTGATGCAATTCAGCCCTGCATGCTTCTTCAAAGAGGGTGTCTTTTCTCTGGCTTGATCCCAGTGAGAGCATCCCTCCCGGACAGAGTGCCAGGGATGGTGCTAAGCTCCATCAGCAAAAAGCCATTGGAGCTTCACAGCTGCCCAGTGTCAACCACAGCAGCAGCAGAGGCACAAATCCTGCTCTCCCAGACGCTGAAGGGGAAGAGTGAGAGGAGGGGGGAGCCCCCACCATGTATCCAGAGCCCCTGCAATCCACCGGGGTTAATCCCAGGATCGCATCCTTCTCCTGCACCCTCCAGCTCCAGGAGCAGGTTGGAGGAGCCCAGGCTGCACAGCCCTGTGGTGGATCAGCCAGTGGGGTCCTGTCCCCAGCAGGGACCCTGTGACACTGACTGTGCACATCACCAGGGTGCTTGAAAAGCCCCATTTCCTGGACCAGGGACCCCATGAAGCTCCTCACGAAAGTGGAGAGAGCAGGCCACCCCCTCCAAACTGAGGGACCCACTTAAGGAGTGCCGCTGCCCCCTCCCATTCCCCTGAGTCCCCAGCGTCCCGGCCAGGGAGGACAGTGTCCCCGCGACTGCCAGGCAGGGACCTAGCAGGGGCCGTTTCTGATTTCTTCCTGGATGTTGGAAAAAAGGGTGCTTTTTGCTTTCATTCGTGTCTTTTGGGCTTAACCCCCCACCGGGAACCCCCCCCCACACACTCTCTCCTCCTGGCCTGTGTTCTCCCACGGGGGTTCACGGGAGCGGTGGGGGGAGCAGAGGGGCCGTGGGGCAGCCGGGCAAGGGGAGGGCAGATGGCTTGCAGGGGGGGCCAGGGGTGTTTGGGGGAGGGCGGGAGCACGAAGCCAAATGCCCCCCGCTTTCCCTTTCTGCACTCCAAGTCCCAGAGCTGGTTGCCTTGGGCTGATGTGTCATTTGTTCCTGCCAAGGAAGAGGGGACAACCCCCCCCACCCCCCCTCTTTAAATTCCTGCTATTGTGGAGTGGGAGGCACGTTGGACCTGGTGTTTAGATGACATCACCGAGCAGGTTGGGTTATAAAATGAATGAAGCAGAAAGCCCAAGTTCACAAGCTCGGCACTTTGCAGGCGGCAGGAGGGACCTCGCGGCTCCGCTCTGAACTTTGACTCCTGCCGGTCCCGGCCTCTCCCCGGGGCTGCCCTCGGCTCCCCGCTGCCCCCGCGGCTCCCCTCCCGCGCGGCCCCGCAGGATGCAGATCTCATCCTTGCTGGCTGGTGGACTTTTACTCGCGCTGCTCTCCGTCAGGCTGGAGGCGAAGCCGGCGTCTCAGCTCCCACAGAAGGTACGGCGGGGGCTGCCCACGGCTCTCCCTCCTCTCCCCGTCCCGCTGAGGGTCCTAACGGCACAGGGAGGGGACGTGGGGTGACTGTGCGGTGGCAGAGTCAGTGCAAAGGGGGGTCCTTCTTTCCCCACGGGCTGTTTGACTGCAAGGGGACTCCCTGCTTCTCCGGGCTGTCCCAAACGCGCGTGTCCGGGGACATCAGCCCCAAACTAGAGGCTGGAGGGGTACACTCTGTGCCCTGTACCCCGCGGGATCAGCGCCGGGGGGGTGGCAGTCTGCTCGCCGGCGTCACCCTTGGGACCCCGCTGTGCCAGGCACTTGGGGAGGGGAGCAGAGCCGGGGCAGGGCAGGCAGCAGGTGCACGGTGGGCACGGTGAGAGGCCGGAGCCCCCCGGGCACTCCTGACCAAACGGCCCAGGCAGGAGCATCCGGGGTGTCCCTCGGGAAAGGGGTGCACCAAATGGGGGTATCCCGTCTGGGTGTCCCGAGATGCTGAGGAGGAGGGATGCGCCAAAGGCCACTGACACTGGGTGGCACTGCCCTGAGGGCCGGGCACAGAGGTGGGGACACGGAGTGAGGGGTGCCCCAGGACAGCAGTGGGATAGGAGTGGTTCCCTGTAAGGAACTGGGGTGCAGGCTGTAGAGAAAGGGGTGATACGGGGTGGGTTGTCGAGGAGGCAAATGAAGGTGAGCGTTCCCAGGGCTTGGTAAGCAGAAGCTCCGAGCAGGGAGACAGATGGCCTAGGAGATGGGGGGCAGAGATGGAAGGGGGCGTGCGCCCCAAATTGTGGGTCAGAACTGGAAGAGTGGGGTTACCCAGAGAGTATTAACTAGGGGAGGGAGCAGCAAGGAAAGGAAACTCAGATCTCCCCATCACTGCTGGGGACACTCTGCAAGGCAGTGGTGCAGACAGAGCTGGGGGGCCAGAACCCCCGACCCCCCCCCCCCCACAATCTGAAGAGTTCTGTAAACTGGTGGGGGACGCGGTGACCAAAGGGACCTGAAAGGAAAGGACCTGCCAGCTTTCAGGCCCCTCCAGATCATGGGCAGTGGACAGAGTGACGGGACAACGGGATAGTGACAGCAGCGCAGCTGGGGGGTGCAGCACCACCAGCCCTTTTGAGGGGACATGCAGTGACCGGGGCACTGCCGGGAGAGGGCAGGAAGACACCGCTATGATGTGGGTCGGGGGGATGCTCTGACACCGGGGAAGGCAGCACAGATTTAGGGAGGGGAGAAGATGCCTTGGGCACAGCCGCGGGGTGATGGGCTGCACTGCCGGGCACAGACCCCAGTTCTAGGGGGAAGGGGGGTGTGATACCCGCTGCGGGTCCTTAACAGGGGGTTGCCAGCACTGGTGGGGTCGCTGGGGGTGGCGGCGCTCTGATTCTCTCCCCTCTCCACAGGCGTCCCGCGGGTCGGCGGCAGCGGCAGCGGCGGCGGCGGCGGCGGCGGGTCCGCCCGAGACGGCGGAGCGGGAGAAGGAGCGAGAGAAGGAGCGGGAGAAGGAGCGGAGCGGCGGCGGCGGGTCGGGCCCGCGGGAGGCGCGGGAGGCGCGGGCCGAGGCGCGGCCGCGGGCGGGCTGGGCGCGGCTGCTGCAGGACACGCCGGGCCGCCGCCACAAGGGCCTCCACAAGAAGGGCCTGGGCAAGGGCTGCTTCGGGCTCAAGCTGGATCGCATTGGCGCCATGAGCGGCCTCGGATGCTGAGGGACCCCTGGCGGTGAGTGCGCGGCCGGGCCGGGATGGGGCCGGGATGGGGCCGGGATGGGGCCAGGATGGGGCCGGGGGGCTCCGCTTCGGCACCCCGGGGAATGCGCGGGATGCGCTGCCTCGCGAACGCGAGATGCCAGCGGGCGGGATTGCAGGGGGTCACCCCGCGGAGCCCTGCAACACCTGGCGTTGCTGGAGGGCAAAAAGAGACCCCAAGTTGGCCTTAATTGCATTGCCACCGTTCCATCACTCCTCCTGCTGCCTTGCGGAAGGATCAGAGATCCCAGCTGCTCCCGCAGCAGCTCAAGCTGGATTCCCCCTAGTTTCAGCTAGACCGTAGGCTCCGGGGACGATGCAGGAGGAGCTGCAGTGCAGCCACATGTTCCCACTTCCTCCCTGTGCTTGACACACACATTGGACCTGTGGGTAGGTGATAGAAGGACACGGTACCCCGTGTGCCTGCAATGGGAGGGTAAGTGAGCTTCCTGTCGCAGCCATGCACCAATGCTTTTAATGTAAGGAAAAACAATACACAAGTTCCCCAGGTGTCTTCTGGTTGTGGTGACTGCCAAGAGTTGCACTTCCCAACTCTGGCTTTGTATCTGAGCAAGTTACAGGAAGCTGGGAGAAGTTCTTCACAGCCACTGCATAGGGACGGATGGGTGAAGGAAATGTCACTTGCCCACAATGAGTGGTTTGGGAGAAATCTGGCAATGACTCCCCTGTCAGCTTTCCCTGAACGTGCTGGGGTCTGGCCTGGCCCTGCCCACAGGTCACAGGCAGATGAACTCATGGCAGAGGAAGCAGTTGCTTGCTGCATTCCAGGCCATTCCCTCTTCTTCCTCCCATGGCACAGCACTGTCCCACTCACAGGGACCTGCCCTGGCCCTGGGCACAGAGGGGACCGGATCCAGAATCCTGCTGCTCTGCAGAGCAGTGGGAAGAGTGTGGCCCAAAGGTGCCCACAGGATGCCAGTGCTGGTCCATGGCCTGTCCTGGAGGGATGTGGGCTGCTCCCCAGCCTGTCTTGGAGCGATGTGGGCTGCTTGCCTGCTCTCTCATGTAGAGGCTCCTTGGTATTCCCAAGGAATCACCCATCTGAAGGCTCCAAGAAGCACATGCACACCATGAAGCCAACTCATATAGATCTGCTCTTGCTAAATCCTCATTAGGAAAAAAGATTTCCAACAGAAGCAGGGACAGGAGGAACAGCAGCTTCCCTCAGCCTCTCCCCTAAATACCAAACAGCCAGAGAGCGAAGGGTGAGCTGCTTCTTTGCTTTGGCACAAGCAAAAAAGCTCAGGGAGGGCTTCCGCTGACTTCAGCATCCCCCAGCCCAAGGCCAGGGTTACTCTGACAGGGGTTTCTGCTCGGGATGGTGTTGTATGGCAACTACTAACAGGCACCTTGTTCTTCCTCACAGGGCTTTGAATCCATAATCCACTTTCTCCTACCACGCGCGGCCAGGCACGGCCTTCCCCCAGGCAACACCTAGAAGAGCAGTGACCCCCCTGGAATGGACAAAAGACGTGGCTGTGTTTTTCTTTTTGGTACGAGGAATCATGGCACCAACTGTTTTGGTTTTGTTACTTTTTTAACAAGTGCTCTCTATCTTATATATATTATATATACAAACACTCACCGAGACAAGGGACAGTGCTTTTCCAAGAGACTGATGAAGCCAGCTGTATAACGTTGCTGTTTGTAAATTCATGTCATGCATAAATGTATTTATGTTGTAAAGCTATTTATATATTGTTTATAAAGAGATATTTATAAAAAAATTATTTATGTAACTAAATGAAAAGTCGAGCATTGTAACATTTTTTTTGTCCTAAGTAGTTGAAAAACTTTAAAAAAAAAAATTCATTCCGTGTGGCATTTTGTAACCTGTCTTTATTTATCAAATTCACATACAATTTAAATGTCAGACTGATTGATTTTAACAGAGCTAAAGAAGAAATTGTTCAGATGTTTTAGAAAAGTCAGGAGCGAGAGAAAGGCCAGCTGATATTTTAAGCTTTGATCCCGTATGCAAAAGTAAACTTGTGAATCCTGTGATGTCCTGAGGGACCGAATGCTGCCTGGCACTGCGTGCAGCTCCAAACCTCTGCAGAACCCAACTGAGCTCATCCATGCCCAGATCCCAAATGGCACCCGTGGAAATGAGCACACCACGTTCAACAGCCAAGCCCTGGATCGACAGCAGGGCGACAAGGGCAGCATCTGGCCTAGATATGTCCTAACTGCTTCCAGTCTGCAGGCTTGGGTCCAACTTTCACCCCGTAACTATAGTTTTATCACTGGGCGCCGGATGGAGACGCAGTCCCTGCTGACAGCAACAAAGAGCCCGCGCTGGATCTGGCCCCCAGCTGCGCTGGTGGGAACAGAGCTTTATGCCAGAGGCGCTGTTATTCCAGGATCCAGCAGCTCACTAAGTATCTTGTTGATATTCCCATTCGCCAGCCCTTCGCTGCTGAGCTGTAAAGTCCCTTCCTCCAGCAGAGATTTATTTAACTGTGCCTGGGACAATACGTAGACAAACCAAAATATACTGAGGGCTGCCTGGTAAGGATTCATGGACACAGCTGTTGCTACAGCTTCTTGCTATGTAAAGTGCATGAAATAAATCGTTCAAATGACCTGGAGCTCTAAAGGAAACAGCAAGCGAGGGGGCGGGGAGCGCAGCAAACATGCAAACGCCTGCATGAAGGCTCTTTGGTCTCATTCTTCAAAGAGGCCTTAGTAAAAAAGAGTGGCAGGCGCCCAGCCCAGCCGTGACAGGAGTCACAAATTATGCCCTGACCATTGTAGTGGGCTGGGAAACAACAAGCATTATGTTCTGCTGGGCTCCGGTGCCTAGGACAGGGCAAAAAGAAAGTCACCAAGACCCAGAGGCAGAGCGATCCTTTTCCTTAGCAACCACCAGGAAACCATAGAAACCTTCAGCCAGACTCACCCCAACTATTAGAGAACATTAGGTTTATAGAACAAGAGGAATTATCCAGACACCCGACAGCTCAATCATCAGGTTAGGAGCACACAGGTGACGTTTCTAACCTTGCACGAGCACAGCCTCCATCAGACACAGGTACCCACCTCGTGGTGCTCACAGAGTCCAGCAGGACAGGGAGCAGCAGCTGATGGATCACGTAAGATGTTGCCTATGGGGAACAAAATCAAGACTCTGGGAGGGAGGGAGGCAGGATGGGCAGGTGGCAGCTCAGTGCCCTGCCTGAGGGTCAGCTGGAGCCCTCCAGAGCTGCCCATAGGTAATGACAACCCACTGTCAGGGCTCTGTAAGGCAAATACAACATCCTACAGCTTCACACATCTCTACAGGGAAGGACGGGCTAAAGAGATGCCCATTAGAGGGTACTGTCCACTGTCACGCAGCAGACCTCAGGGACAATAAGGAATTGCTTACTGTGCACACCTTGCACACCAGGTCTGAAAAGAGGGTGTAAGAAGGTGGTGCTGCAGGTCCCTCTCAGAGTCCTGGTCCTTGAGCGTGAATCCAGAGTAGTGACTGTAACAGAGTGCCAGGCTGGGACCGCAGTAGGGACAATTCCCCTTCCAGTTTTGGCTTTTTGCTGCAAGCCAGAGCTGGAATAAAACCACCTGCCTGGTGACAGAGGGGCTCTCCTCAACACAGTGGGGAGGACCCAGTCCCAGGAACTCCATTCACAGTTTGACCACTTAAGTGAAGCAATGCCTCGGGAGAGATCAGAGATTACAGCCTGGGGTCATGTACGGTCTGGATTCCCGTTTCTCCTCTGCAGCGTAGTCCAAGGGATAAAGCACAGCACAGGTTCCTTCCATCCACTGGTAAAGAGCAAGGCCAAGGAAAAGGACAAAACTGCACAGCAAAAGGACAGTTGCTTGGCAGAAGGAAGCAATCAGAGCGAGAGTTCTGGTTCCTCTTCCTGGTGCAGAGGAAGGGGATAACAGCCTGGCTCCTTGCTTTGCTGCTTCTACTCTGACCAGGGATAAGTCACCCTGTCCCTCAGCATGTGGATTCCCACCTGCAGGATGGAAACACTGTGCCCATGTGGGGGTGTGACCTGATGTTCAAGAGAGAAGGCAGCACTCAGGGGTGAAAGAGCACTTGGGATAACTCAGACCCACTCAACCTCAGGCTCCCCGTGGCACAGCCAGACTGGTGGGTCTGACAGGCAGAGTGGCACTGCCAGTAGAGGTCAGTTTCCAGAGCACTGATGGGCACCTTCCTTAGTTCGGTGGAGAAGCCAGAATGGGAATCAGAAGCAGCTCATTAGAGCAGAGTGAGCAGCTGAAATGGCCACAACTGGGTCTCCCTGACAGGGGCTCAGTAGCAAACAAGGGCAGCAAGAAAGAGAGACCACAGGAATCTAATTAAGAGTGGAGGAGGAGGCACCACCTGCAGCAGAAACAAACTGATCTCTGAAACATCACTGCCTCCCCTGTGGGCCAGCTTGGTCAGATCCTCAAGACATCCAGTAAAAGGATCCAGGCCAGCATTAAAAAACTCCCCTGCCACAGCCCAGCCCAGAGACAGCATAACTGAACAACAAGAGATGTCCTGGATGCAAGCTGCAGCCTCAGGGGGTGGCATCTGACATCTCAACTGCAGGCTCAGAGAACAGCATTTAGCAGGTGTGTCCACACACCTGGAAGTGAGGGGAGCAGGAGTCCCAGGCTCCTCTGTCCACACTCAGCTCAAACCAGCACTCTCAGCACCTGCATGTTTCCTGCACCACCAGCTCAATGAGCAGTAGCCACATCCAGCTTCCAAGCAGGAACACTTGTGACATGGCATAAGAACAGCCTTGACTTCTCCTCTCCAGGAGCTATTCCTAGCAGGAGTTGAGCCATAGGCCCCCAGCCTGAAAAAGCACACTGCTCTCTAGTGAAGAAGGACCAAGAGCTTTCTCCAGCTCTATTGTACAAGTGCCTGGCAAAGCTCAAACAGGCTGGAGCAGACCTTGGAGCTCCCACAACAGGGACACAGTTGCCCTCTAATGTGTGGGAGATAGTTCAGTTCCCCCAGCCCACATTACAACTTTTCCAAGGTATTTATTGGCTGAAGGGTTACAAAGCCCAGCTCAGGTGACAGCAAATCCCAAAGCAATGAAGAAAAAGGAAAGCCCAGAGCCCCAGAGCTGGAGAGCAAAGGAATTTTCCAGCTGGAAAGGGACTTGAGGCATTGAGCAGGGACTGCCAGGGGCAGCAGCACACATGCTCCTGCCACTTGCTGCAGGACTTCTCCAAGCATGGGCTGCTTCCCTCAGAATGCAGAAAAACAAAGGGAAGGGATCACAGGGCAGCTTCCAGAGGGAGCCTGCGCTTGACACAAGCGTGAGTCGAAAACAAGAAGGGAATTGAATTCAGGCCCCTTCCTGTCAGTCAGCAACTAACCTTGTCAGAAGGGATGGCAGCACTAACCGAATCAGGCAATTCATTAGGTTTGGGGCACGCAGCAAAAGCCCACGCTCTCTGGAGCAGAACTACAGTGAAAATCCAGGGTAATGAGTTGCAAACTGCCTTTGTAAATGACACTTCTGCAGCGACTCTGGCAGGCTGGGAAAAGAGCTAATAGGAAAATCATTAGGTAGCATCCCTTTGATATTGTTGAAAACGGCACAGGCTATTTTTCCTGCCCCCTCCATAATTAACCTGGAATATTACCCATAATACTCTAGGTTGATATTCCCACAATGGACCACCTTATCTGCATCAGGAGAAAAGAGGGGTATGCTACAGAGGAGGAAGATCACTTCTGGAAAAGCTTAAAAGGTTTAAGATTTGCCCCCTACTGCAAGTATGCATTCATTTCATCAGCAATGAACTCTGCCCAGCCAGGAGACCAAAGCCCTTCACAAACCCCTGTCACAGTCAGCACGCAGGAGCAAGGCTGGGAAAAGCAGCTGCAGAGGAGCTGATCTGCCCAAGGTTGCTCTCTGCAACTGCAGCAGAGCTGGAACAGGACACAGCTCTTATTTGCCCCTTATTTATAACACTGTCCTTGTCCTTGACTTCCTTTATGCTAAACCAGGCAATGGCCTGAACCTTCCAAGGTGCAGAACAGCTCTGAAGAGCAATGCCTACCCAGCTGGTTTGTCTGCCAGCAAGGAGAGGAGTCATCTCACAGACGTGATGTAAAAGGTACAGCCTCACAGCAAGGCAGGTGATCTTGAAGGAGCTGGTGCTCTCTAACAGCTGCGAAGGTGACAGTGAAACACCGAGACGTTACCGACTGCACTAGCACAGAGCAGCCTCAGGACTGTGCTCACCACGACACACTGACCTAAGCATGAGGGCTGCTGAGATAAACTGCATCTCTGGGAAACGTCTGGAGGGCTGGACAGCACTTCTTCCAAGCCTGAGACCCATGAAGATACAGCCTGTGGTCAGACAAGCTCCAAATACTCACAGAAAGGCTGATCCCTGACAGAGCAAGGCTTCGCTTACCCACCACAAACAGCTTTTCTGGAAACACAGAAGTATCACGTGGGATTACAGCATTTTTAAAATGCCCTAATGATACAGATATTCCAAAGCCTCCATAGGAGGGTTGGAGACATGGAAGGGTGTCCCATGGCCCTTAGTGCCATGCTATAGTAATTGGAGTTGGATCAGGGGTTCGACTTGATGATCTTGGAGGTCTTTTCCAACCCAATCTATTCTATGATTCTATGATCTTCTACTAGAATTACACCAAGCAAGGCCTACTGGCACAAATTCTTTTGTGCTCTGTGGAGAAATACACATTTCAAGACTATTAAATGACCTTATGGCATCCCATTACTGCCTGGAATTTCCAGTGTGTATATGCATTCACTGGAGCAGGAACATCATCTTTTCTTATCAAGAAAAAGCCGCGGCCACAGCAACCACACTCAGGCAATTTGCAACAGGGTATCTCCTGAGATGAACACACTGTGGGAAGAAGCAGCGTCTGTGCCTGTGGATTCGGAGGCAGGGAGCAAAGTGCTGCTCTGCCTTTTCCTGGCCTGGTTCACCAGTCAGAGAGGGGAATACCACCACAGGGACACTGAGAACAGGGCCAGCCCAGCCTAGGGGGTAAACACGCACTCTCTTTACCTCAATCACTTACCTCTGGTAGCTCTGTGGTAGGGCCAAACTTGATGAAATATCAGCAAAATGTCAACAGTCCCTTAGAGACGCGGGCCTTCATCACAGAGCAGAGTGAAACAATGACATATTTCTAAAAACTCTGCTGAGAAATTCAATCAGACTGTCAGGCAAAAACTCTGTATTAAGAATACAAGGTTGAGGTTAAAAGTAGGAACTGAGATCACTCTAAACTTTACTTTACTTTCCTTGCTGCCCCTGGGTTACTCTCTCTCAGATTACACAAAAATATGCTACGTAGATTCAGGTTTTGGTTCCCTTGCATTAGGTCAGATGCTATAGAGGAATCAGTGGGGTAGAAAAAAAACAAGAGACTTCGTTTGGGACGAGGTGCCCAAGATCTGGCTAGCTGGGCCTATATGCTTATGCAGGTTCTTGAATTTCTCTATTTCCCCATTTTTAAGAATAATAATAAAGAGCAAGGTAGTCTCTCTCCATTGCAGTTTGCAATTGACTCAGATGCTGAAGTAACAGATCCCAGCACAGCAGCCCTACAAACACACAACCTTGGACTGTTTTACCCTGCAAGGGTGGCTTTGTCTGGTTTCCAGCTTAGCTGCACTCATATAAACCTGTAGAGAACTGAAAGTTTAGGAAAAGTCTCATTTACCCATGTGATTTGCTACGTTCCAATATAGCTATCAAAGCTAAGGGCACTCCTCCTTAGGCATCCCAAAAGAAGCTCCAGGCAAAGAACCCCTGCAATGAATAAGCCCAAGTCTGCTTCACACACACGAAGCAAAGCATTTCCCCCTCACAGGATAAGAACACTAAAACCAAAGCCACCCTCTGAGGCCTGTATCATTTTCCATTCTCACAGGAACTGAAAGCTGTTCAGCAAAATTCCCTTTGCAGGGCTGGTGGGAGAATGGCCACCTCTTTCTACCACTGTCTCTATAGGAAGAGAAGCTTTGCTTTCCCCAGCTTCACTCTGGAGAGCAGCTCTGCAGGTCCTACTCCTGTACAGAATCCATGGAGAGAGACCTGCAAGCCTGAGAGCAGCTCCAAAAGCATCCACTGGATTTCAGAAATCTGCACAAGACCAGTTGCAGGATAGGTCTCAAATTTGAACACAGAGGGGTCTGTCAGCATCACTTACTTTACCTCCTACTCTCAACACAAGACTACCCTGGCATTCAACTTATCTAAGAAGGTGAGGGGGGAAGTAAAAGACGACTAGATTTTGAACCAAAACTTTTCTTCTTCTGTAAAAGACTGACATCAGCATTGCTTTATCATGTTCCAAAATTGCCTGATGTTAGCTGGTTGATACCAAGTCACAGTGGGAATGCCAGGGACATTTGTTAGCATGAGGCACAGCTTTAGGGCTAGGGCAGCCTACCAGCACTGCAATCAGCTGAGATCCTCTCTTCCATTTTCCAGCTCAGTGCTCAATTCCATATTAAACAAGCAGTAGTACAAGTGGAGCTGCAGAACACAAAGCTAGACAATAAAGCCCTGAAGAGCAGAGGGAAGGCAGCTCCAACCACTTTGTCTCCCTCGGGGTGGAGGAGGCAAACAGAAGTTTAATAGCTCAAAGTCTGTCCTGCTGCAATCTTGGAGCGAGCTGCAGCTGGAGCAGCTCTTTGTGGCCATAAACCAAAGCAGGGCAGGACACTCTCCCTGTGCCAGGGAGCAGCATCCGGCAGAGTCCAGCAGTGCTCGGACAGGCTGCCTTAGCTGCCTCCAGCAGGCACATGCAATACATGGGAGTTTACATCAAAACTGCCTCTGCTTCCACCTCCCTCTCATTCCCATAGCACAGTTAAGCTCCCTGGGCACTTCCCACTCAAAACTGTTCACAATCCCGTCCCTAGTTCATGCAACTCGGCTGAGTTGCTGCCCTTCCTGTAGTCACAGGGAGCCAACAGAGTTGTTATCTGTTGTCCTTCTCAAACAGCACAGCACCTCCTGCATCCTTCCCTGTTAACAACTCTGCCTTCTGCTTCATTCCCGGAATAGCTTCTAACTCTTTCCTTCAAGCCAGATTCATTAACCAGCTGCTGCAGAGCTGTTTTGCCTCCCCCAGGTACTCTGTGCATGTCATTTGTTAATGACTCATCTCAGCCTGGGCTCATTGCAGACACCCCCCTCCTTTTGCGGCACCAAGCCCGTCGCTGGCACACCAGGAGAGCCAAACACGCAAACAGCTCCATTCCCTCCAATGCCTCGGTCCCTTCTCCGTCCTCTGTCGCCACCAAACATGGGACAGCTCTTTATTCAAAGTGCTATTTCCTCCCTTGCTTCTTTGCTGATCAAAGGCAATGTGTACTGAAGCATGAATAAGATCCTCACCCCCAGCCAGGCTTTGAGAACAGCAAAAACGTAAGAACAAACTCGAAAACTTCCAACACACTGAAAGAAGCTCCAGCAAACTAATGTGACTCCTGTAATTGGCAGGGAACAAACACCAAGGGTGCCAAACTCACATCTATTTCCCCAGCAGACTGTGGCTTGCTGAGGAGCTAAAAACAATGTCCAAAGGCATTTGTATTCCTCCTGCCTCTTTACAGGACTGATATTACAAATGGGAGGGAAAGAAAACAGAGCCTATTCTCACCAGTCAAATCCAGTGAGGAACTGGACAACCAGTATGCTGCAGCTGTCCACACAGCAAGCCAGAAACAGACCCAGTCCATTTCCATCACACAGATTTGGGGACACAAAGCCCACCTGCACCTCTCAGAAGCTGTCAGCTAAACACTGGGAGAAGCTGGAACAGGAACTAGTACTGCTACTGCTTGGGAAGCAGCTCCCTTGAGGTACAGGGGAGGGCTTCATGCTCTGGACTTACTCACTTAACGTTCTTCCCTGGGAATATTTTGGCTTGCATTTCTAGAGGGACAGAGAGCTGGTAAAGAATCAGAAGCTCGATCAGAATCAGAAGCCTTGGGGACTTGACCCAGAGGAAGCTGGAGAGGGATTATTTAGATCTGCCTCTCCAGATTAAAAGCTGGTGTGCCTGCTCTGCAGGAGAAGAAAAGGAGAGAGATTTACTTTCAAAAGTGAACAAGTCCCGTGACTGAGGACTGCAAACATGCAGATGGCAAAGAGTCCTGGTAGCAATAAGAGGAAGGCACGTGCACTGCACAAGCAAGTGCAGGTGACAGCTGGCTGCAGGACTAGAGGATTGTCACAGTCCTCTGCTTCAACAGCTCCCCTGCCCGCTCACAGGGAGCTCTTCCCTTTACAGAAGCAAAATGCAGAGGCCAAACTACAAAGCACTCTCTGCTAGACCCAAAGGGAAGAATCGACTGGCCTAAGAGAGCACAACTACAAACCTTCCACAACCAGCAAAGCTGTTCAGGCTCAGGACACTGGGCTTGGCTACCAGCTCTGCCACAGATCCTTCTGCACAAATTTGGACAAAGGTGAACTACTGACAAAATGTGAAGGGCGCTTCCCTGCCTCCCACATGAATAAGGGAGCTCAGTCAGACCTTTGGATAACATACACCAAGAATCAAGTAAATTCTCAAGTAAGCAAGTGCCACTGGACTACAAGCCTAAAGCAGCCTCAAAGTCAAGACTCCAGACTCTGACATAAAATCAGCATTTTTAATTTTTTTTCTAAAATGTGCTTTTTCATGAATTGCTGTTCCAATGCTTCCCCCTTAAAAAAAAAAAACCCACACCTTGACAAACTAGGTGCAAATCACCTGAAGTTAGTCTGTAACAAATAAAAAAAAAAACAAAAACACAAAACAAAGGCTGAAATGCTTTAGAATCACAACAATGTACAAAAAAAAAAAAAAAAAAAAAAAAAAAAAAAAAAAAAAAAAAAAGGAAGAAAATACAACCTGAAAGTGTTCAAAACTCAGAAAAACTAGTCAAGTCCGTTGCTTCAGCAAGGGGATGCTGCTGCGACCCCTGCCAGTGGGTCCTGGGCCACCAGCCTGCCTTGATGCCAAACAGGCTCCTCTCCCGTGCAGACCACTGTCGCCAGCATCCAAGCAAGAGCGAATGCATTACCCTCCGAAGGTATCAATGGGGGAAACAACTCACAAGCAGCTCTGGGAGGTCACATCACATTCAGGAGGACCAGTTTCTAGCGTGCCCCTGACCACCTGCAAGAAGGAAGGCGTGAAAGAGCAGCCTGCTTCCTCCTTATTGTACTGATGCCTCAGAGATGCAGAACAGTGCTTTAAATCTGTGAGAGATTAAAGGGCTTAGTAAGGGCAGTAAACAGACAGTTAAGTAAACAGCCCAGCACTGGATCTCATCTTCACAGAGCGAGGTAGTGTGAATTTCACCCCAGTTTAAAATAGACAGGGGCAGCAGAAAGGCTGAAGACTTCCACGTAAAGCAGTTCCTGGCCTAGAAACCTTCCTGTGCTCCCTTTGGGAATGAAAAGATCTGTGCTGATGGCTTCCTCACTCCCAGTCTGGCTTTGGTAGCCACACTTCAACCCTGGGATTCAGACACTTGCTATAGAAGCTCTCCCAAGATCTGATTTAGTACAGCAGCTTCCTCAAGGCTAAGCAGCAATAAAACTAGTTGGGAGGGAGCAAAACTGTCCACAGATATTTTGGGGTTTTTTCCTGCCCCTTTTGGTTAGTCTCTTTCTTTAAAAGTCCCTCTTTAGAAGATCAGAACAGGGACACCCTGAAAATTCATAGGGGCTACACAGTGTAACTTAGCCAGGTGCTGCTAACTGGGAGCTGTGTTCAAACACGGCTTTTATCTGCCAGCCTGGAAGGGACTGGCCCAGAACCCACTGAAAAAGGAGTTGCAGGCCCTTTTTGCTCCTCCTGTTGTCATTCCTAACTGAATGACAGTGTGGATGGTATGTTCTAGTGGCGGCTGGAGACCAGCCCTTTGACTTTGGACATCTTCTTTGTGGGCTGCCTTTGTTCTGTGTGTGGAGGGCACTCTCGCTCTACCAGCTGCTGTTCCATCTCCTGTGCCGACGACGAGGCTGTAGCTTTTAATGTTTTCTTTATGTTTGTGACCTGGCCAAGAAGAGACAGTGAATCAGCACCTGCTTCTTCCTCCCCTCGCAGCAGAAACTCAGTTCATAAACATATTGAAAATCCCCTGGAGTACAGAGTGGAGATTACAAAAGAGACTCTCCCAGCAGTAACGTGCTCTGCATTTGACTTTATTAATGTTTCATCCTCAATTACAGCCAGAGCTGTTAATATTTCCAGTCTGGGTCAAATACAGAGTAACTGGGGATTCCTTATTTTTTTCCTAAGAGACAATGGCACAATACTGTACCACCTTTCTTTCTGGCTGGAGGGACCTACTACTGCCTCGGTGCAGAAGGTAGCCATTCTACCTTTTTGTTGGCCAGAAGCAGAAGGTGAAAGGAGACTGCGAAAGAAAAATTTGCTCTTAGGACAGCACTTGAAAAGGGAAAATGCCATTTGACCTGGCTGGCTGGCTAGAAGCAGGAACAGAAATTGGTTTCATGGGAGGCAGCAGTAATGTTTCTGCTACTCTAGCTGAAAAGGAGAGATACATCACCAGGAACCATCCTCTGTCCCCTGGAACTCTGTAGGGCTCACTACAAATACAATGAGCAAATCTCTAAAAAAAACCCCCAAGGTTTGGGAGTCAGGTGCACCAACACCAGGCCAAAGGCATTTGGCAAACCCAACGTCCTATGTGTGCCTCCAAGCACACGCAAACATAAACCTGCAGGGATGTAGCCCTTGGCAAGAAATAAGCCCTGATCCGGTGCCTCGGGAGGCCCCGTTCCCACCTTCCCCGCGGCTTTAGGTGGGTTTGGTGGCTCGGGCCGGGCCGGACCGCGGGCTCGTGCTGCCACCTACGGGCGGGAGCGCGCAGGGCCCGGCCGGGCCACCCCGACCCCCGGGGGAGCTGCCGGGGGCACGTTCTGCAAAGGCAACGAGCCTCGAGAGATTTTTGTTAATTGCACTTTCAGGTGCAAAACAAAGAGAACTGGTTTGTTTTTTCCTTACTAGCTGCCTTGTCGGAAAGGAACAGAATTGTATTAAAGCCTTGTGCTGAAAGCACAGTTTTCCACACAAATCAATGTAGACAACAGTTAGTTCAGTCACCTACCCTAAATTTATAAAAATGTATCAAGAAAGGTGCAATCTGCTCGTACTGGGCAAATGTCATGTTTGTGGCCTTACCTGCACTCAGAAACAGACGTGTTTTCTTCCTACCCCACACCTTATTTGCATGATTGCCAGCCTGATTCAGAGAGCCATGACCATCAACCAGGTGTTACCAGATCATTTTCTTCAGCAAATAAACACTTATCAACCACCCTGAAATTACGCTGTACCCACCTCCATCTCTACCTGCTGCTGAGTTCTGTGATGGTTCTCTTTGTACTGGTTGGCTCTGAGTACTTGCTGCTCAATTCCTAAAAGAACTGCCTCACAACCATCGCACCTGCAAGATACGAAGCATGTCAAACAGTGTCTACGAGTTCCCTCTGGAGCAGCTCAGTCAGGCACCGAAAAGTCACACTTATCCAAAAGTTTAAGAGATTATTAAATTTATACCTCCTGCTTAGAGCTGCAAAAAGCTGGCAAGTTTTTTTTGCTGCATACTCAATGAATTTCACAGCATTCTCCAGAGAGTCTGTGTTGCTCTTACCATCAAAGAGTAAGGGCAGGTTCAATATAATTTCAACCTTCCTTTTCAGTCAGAATTACGGTTTAAACAGGGATGCAACATTATTTAAAGTAAGAAAAATTTTAAAATTAAGGAAAAAAGTAATACCGAAATAAGTGTTCAAATGACAAGAACTCAGATCTGGAGAAGACAAAAAGAGAATTGGCAGAGGGTTCACTGTTACCTTCCAAACAGGGCTGTAAGGTCCTGGAAGCTGCCAGAGCCCTCCTGCCATGATGGGACTGAGGGAGTTGGAGTAGAAAAGCAAAAAACCTGCCCCCACCTCAGGACAGTGTATTTGCCCAGCAGTTTAATTACTTTTCATGCACTCATTACCACAGCAACTAGGAAGCAATTCCCAGTCAGCTTAGGATCTGCCACAGGCTCCAAAGTCTGCAGGGGAATTTCTCTGGGTGGGAAAGGAGTCCTACAAAAAGATGAGAAGCAGCTGCTGGCAAAGGTACAAAATGATAATACCACAGTCCCACTGTGGCTGCAGGCAGCAGTGATTCTCTAGAATTTGCCCACATGCTTCTCATCACAGTGAAAAAGCCTGAAAAGTAACAGTTCTGTTTTCACTATCAAGTGTAACAGCAGCAAGGGGAGTAGCTCCCACCACAGGACCTTGGGTCCAGTTTGGCACCTCTCTCTGCAAAAGCCTCTTCTCCTCGCTGAGGTCCCGCCATGTAAAAGCAACAGTGTGAGCAGAAGCTCACCATGTGGTAGTTTGGCTTCATACATAACACAAATTGAGTCCCAGATGGGATCTTGGAAAACTCGCCCAACAGACTCCTCCTCCACGTGCCGATTTATAGCACAGGACTCCTGATTAATGGAACATGGTGCAATTGAGCCAGCACTTGAAACTCTGAGGATAAGCTAAAAACAGGACAAGCCACGTAACGAGGAACAAGAAAGGTAGAGAGGCTGCCTCACCATTCCTGGAGTGTTTTGACAATGTTACTGATGTCCTTCTTCTGAATGTCTCTACCAATACAAAAATCCACCTCTAACACCTGGTTTCGCTGATCCAACTTCCCCTGGATAATATCTGTATAAACCGCCTCAATAATCAGATCTTCCAACTCCCTCAGATTCCTCATATCCAGGTCCTTCAGCAACACAGAATAGGGAATGCACTAAAAAAGCAAGACCAAGAATAAGTCAACAGTCCTAGAGCCACAAATGAACAGCTAAGTCTCAGAAGGTCAAGACTCAAACTTTTATTGTATCCTACACTTCAACCTGCACATGCAGCAGTGACTGATCGTGGCAGAACAAACACCTGCCAGGCCATGAAATATTCTGTCACAACTTCAGTAATTCCTGAAGCTTTGGCATTAGCACATCACGGAAGAAAAAAGGTAATGGGATTGTATAAAAAATTAAGAGTGCTGGCTTAGCCCTTTCTAAAACAAAAAGTGTTTTTAAGCACGATTCTCTGTTTCCAGCAGTGAATGAAGCCATACAAAGTTTCCCAGGCCTTCCTGACCAATTTGCACGTCAGTTCAGACACCCTTACAACTCATCCATGGAATTTCACTAGGCTAATGTCCCAAATACACCAGGAGAGAACACTGTACACTGCAGGTACTTTCCTAGGACAGCATTTTTTTGTGAGTACTTATGCATTCCATAGCACTTCAGTGCTATGGAGTGGATGGTATTTTCTAAAACTAAACCAAGAGCCCAGTGGTGTCACACTCCAGGCACGTTACCTTCATTCGGGACGCCAGGCTTACGATCGTCAAGTGCTTCAGCTTGTTCGTCTGAGTCACTGTTAGTTCAGGAAGGTTGTCTTTGTTTGCTGTTAATGTCAAAAAGACAGGACTTGTTAAAAACAACTTGACAATTCCATGCTTCTCTGCTTCTTTAATAATTCTGGTTCTGGAATTAGAAGGTAACTCACAAGTGGTGCCCTGCCAAAACTGTTGGTCAATGTTTTGGTTCTAATAAGTAATTTTTATTTCATTAACAAGCTGACAGAATAAAATTTCCTTCTTGGCTAATCTGTTCGCAAATACAGCTGGTTTTATTTCTCTGAAGAATTGCAGAATTTAGAGTTGAAAGTTTAAAGTACCAGGCTGAGGAAGAGAGGAAAAATTATTAATCTAGATGGCCACACTGTCACAGTATTATATCCATGTGCCTCATGAATATTTAAAAACAGAAAGGAAACTGGCAGCTCTCCAAAGCAAAAACACCTCTTTAAAATATCTACTTTAATGGAAATAAATGTTTCGGGGCCACTCAAGTTCTCCCATCCATCCCACCTCATCCAGTGCTCTACATTTTGACTACTTTTACCCATTTCTCTTTCTTCACTAGAAAAGGAAGAACGATCTGTGCTGTCACATGCTGGGACACAAGAGCCATGAACAGCAAACACATCCTCTAATCAGTCACAGAATTCATGAGGCTCGTGTTGCTCCACAGCCACTGGAATTTCCAGTCCTTGCACTTACAGATGCCACTTCTCCTTATAGGAACTAGATAGCTCATCCACCACAGTGATAGCCAGCATCATGACAGAATTCTTTGTCACACTCTGTAATGGTCTGGATGAGGCTGCTACCCACAAATGAAGCATTAAATTGTAGCAGAGTGGAAGCATAAGCACCAGAGATAAAAGCACATTTCGACAGATACAAAGATGATTCACACAGAGTCCCTCTGAAGCTGTATAAAAGTCATTATTTCAACTTCTATTCTAGCTAAGAAATTCTTCATTTTGTTTCAGCAGTGCTGCCACGGAATAAAAGGTTGTCTCATAAACCATATAGATTTTATAAATAATGCAGAACAATTTTGTCTACGTTTTCTGCAGTTTCCATAACCGATGTCATCTAAATTTCCAAACAGATGTCTGAAATTGCCCTCTGCAGAGGTAAGTGGTCTGTGAACATTAATGAATTCTGCTACAGACCAACTCCATCCAGCACTGCTGTCCCATCCAAACCAGTACCACACCGTGGTCTCTAGCCCTTCCTTTAATTTTAGCAATTAAAAAGCACATACGACCCAGAGAACCCCTATGGAGAACTCTCGTCCCAAGCAAATTCTGTTCTTGGACATTTTCCCCCAGCCACACTCCACCAGGCATCACAGAAAGCAAGGAGCTGCCTCTGACAATCCTGGAGGGCAGCCCAGCCCTGCCCTCTGCAATCAGGCAGCAGTCTCTTACCTACATAGTCTCGGTACGTTCCGTACGCAAACAGGTTCAGCAGCTGGAAATAAGCAGCATTGGACCCTTCGGCGAGCTGGGTGGGGGGAAAGGAAATGTCACATCGAACAGTAACAGTCAACACAACCCTGATAATCAACTTCTCCAGAGAATGGTTTAAGCCTGCACAGGACAAGAAGTACCCAGAAAAGCAACTACATCTCTGTCTTAAAGAGCTGGACCCTTTCTAAGGGCTCACGAGCAGCAGAAAACTTCAGCAGTTTTAGAGTCAAGGTGATCCAGCCAATTCTATGCAGCAGAACACAACTACAGTTTGGGCTGTCAACTGCTTTGTGCAGCACCTCAGGGGGTAAAAGAAAGAGGCAATTCTTAATTTCATGTGACAACCTACAGGGCCAGCTCTTCTCCTCATGTGATAAGCAAGCAGGCAATGGTGATGGCTGGTTAAGTATCCTGGCTGTGACTGTGAAAGCGAAGGCAACTCACCTGCAGAACCACCACAGCTTCAAAGCAAAGCAAGCGGGAACACTGTGAGTTGAGTGCATTTGAACACTCCTTGCCTGCAAACACTTCACTGGGTAACAGCAGCACCAAGCAGTGATTTCTATCGAATGGGGTTTTTTAATAAAATTTGCTGCACACAATCCGGGGTGGGGGAGGAGAAAGTCCTTGTGAGTTGATGCTGAATAACCATAGAGGCACTTCTGGGCATATTTAGGAGCCTGTCTGGAAAGCCAAACTTGCTGCACACTGCGTTATTCCAGCTGCAGAGATACTCAGCTTAGATTCCCTTGCTGGAGTAGAGGCAGGGGCTGGCAAGGCATTCTCAGCAAAAGCTCTGGAACTTACTTTCCATCTTGGTTTGAAATGGTTTGGATTTGGTTACCACCCAGGCCTGATACACTAGACATCTGTTCACAAAGACTTTTGGAGAGCACTGAAGTTTTGCTTTCCAGGACAGCAAAGGAGTAGAAAGGGTTTTTTTTTTTGTTGCTGGCTGGCCAAGTGCCTTCCTAAAACTGTTACTGTGCTGCTGCCAGGTTTCTGCTGTGTTAGCAATTGCATTAAGGTAGCAAAGCTTTATATGGGTATTTTTTAACACCTAACATATACAAGGCAAAAGCAACGTCAGTCTCTCACACACAAACATCTCAGAACCAAAATAAGTCGCATCAGGTCCTTCCTGGCACAGAAATTTCATGCACAGGCTGCGTGTGAAAATTTCTGGGGATCCCTCATATTGGAGGAGTGCAGAAAAGGGCATTAGGATGGAAACTCATCTCTTACCTCCTGCACGTTTGTTAACTCCAACAGCTCTCCAAAGACATAAACCCCAGGAGCCTCCAGCACTTGATTTATAAGAGCAGTCAGAGCTGAGCCACTTGTACCTTTGGCCAGTAAAATAAACTGCTCTAGAAGATTGCAGGATGGTTTCTGTTCCCCTGCCATTCTAGGTTTTCAATCTGTCAATAAAAGAACATAATATTAATACATCCTTCCTCCTCTGCCAAGTCCTGCCTGGCAATGGACCAGGAGGTGCTGAGCTTTTTTCACTGTAGCAGAGCCAGGCTCTTCTCCAGTACCCAGGGGCAGCCACAAACCCAGCAGGTTCAACTGCTGATTTGTCTGGGGAGCAAAAATGATCCATACAGTATCTGAGCAAAATTTCTGTCTGTTCAGTCCCCCAAAAGGATCTGCTCTTGCCAGTAGGAAAGTTTAGATTTCATGCTGTTTTCAGACTTTTCCTTATACTGATGCCGCCAAATAATGCCAGCCTTGCAGATGCTTTTGATACATCTGTTAAAGGCCAGCTGAGGCTTCCTCCTTCCTCATCACACACCCCAAAGCCAGCCCCTAACGTAATTCCCTGTGAAGGACTGATCCACACTGCACGCTCACACACTACACCTTTTCCTTTGACACTGGCTACAAACACAGTGGGTGCACATAATTCCTACTGCTTCTGAGCCCAAAAGGCAGAGAGAATTGGCCTGTAAAGCAGCTCACCAGTCTGCATTGCACAGTTTAAGTGTTTTGGCTGAACTGGAAAGCTCAAGTGATAAAAATACCCTGTCGACAAAGGCTCTATTTAAGTCCCTGTAAAGAGAGGTCTTTGTCTTCCTCTGCTGCCTGACATTTCTGGTGTGCATGTTGTCTCCCAGCACCAACATGTTGTTTTTGAAACCTAAACCACTATTTATTAACAAGCTGCACAAAACAAGTTGTTTGTTTACAAACAACGGAGACAAAACTTCCCAAGCATGTTATTCAGACTCCAAACAAAGAACTTGGCAGTTGGGGGGGGGGGGGAAGTTGTGTTATGTTTGTATGGGATAAGTATAAAATAGAGGGCGTAACCTTTACTTTGGAGAAGAAAACTAAACAAACAGCAGAGAACCAAACACCAGAGATTGTGTCTGGTTCTATGTGACCACCGGGCCCACATCCTCCCCCCTGGGGCAGCACAGTCACACAGGGGTTTCACTGTTTCACCAGACCTACCCAAATTAAGGCTTCTGAAGGCATCACAGCTTCCTGTATTAGTCAACTTCTAAAAATACACTTCACCCTGCTCTTTTACACCTCAGTGGTCTCAACCTGAGCAGGCAACCTTTCACACTCTGCACACAGAGACGTCTCAGCTCTCGGTGTAAATCCTCTTTCCGTCAGAGGCACAAGTGCAGCAACAAGAACAGCACCTCAGTTCTGACTGAGACATCCCTGCAATACAGCAACGCTCAGTGTGGATTCCTCACACACCAGTGCTGCCCTCCCCACTCACGGAGAAGGAACAGACACTGAGGACAATTTCCTCAGGAAAGCACATGGTCTGAGCGGGCTGGGAAAGGGATTCAGATTCCCCGGTTCTATTGTTCCTCCCTCCCAGGTAACCAAACCACACGCTGGAGCGTGATGCTGCAAAGGACTGGCTGGTGCATCCATGCCCTAAAAGGGAAGGAATGCCAACTCTTTGCCCCTTTCCAAGTACACGTTCAGACAACAGCGGTGCTATTGCAACCTGTCCGCACACCCGGGAATACCTCGCTGCTTCCACAACCGTCTTACCCTGGTGAGAAGTGACTGAAATACACAAAACACTCCAGCGGAGCTTGGCCAAAGGCTACGACAATCCGTGCACTGAGACAAACCGGGCTTCTCCCGGTCAGGCCTCTCCGAGGGGTTTCAGGGCGGGAAGCGGCCCGCAGACCCCGCATAGGGAGGCGGGGGTTTCCCGGCCCTGCCGTCCCTCCCCTGACCCCCGGCAGAGCCCTCGGGCCCCATCGAGCGGGCAGAGCCCTTCCGCAGGGGGCGATTCACCAAGGGGTCCCTCAGGGCCGCCCCGGCCCGAGGCGTTACCTGTCGGCTCCCGGCCTGCCGCCCGCCGCTCCCGGCGCCGAGCCCGCCGCGCCTCAGGCCGCCATGATGGCGGCGCCGGCGTCCGCGCGCGGCCCCTTCCCCCCCGGAACGCGCGAGCCGGGCCGAACGTTCCGCCCCATCCCGGGCGGCAGCCAGGACAGGGAAGCGCGTCCCGGCAATCCCTCGGATACGGGACGGGCACGGCGGGACGGGCACGGCGGGACGGGGGTGCTGGCCGCCCTAGAGCCGCTGTCCGGAGGCCCTTGGAGCGAACCTCACCGAGCAGCTGTTTCAGCACAACCCGGGGAAATTCCCGCCTCTCTTTTTGGGGATATGGGGTGCGGTGGCGGCGTCGCGGGGGTTTGCAGCCCCGAAATAGCCTGTGCGAGGGGTCGCCGTGGTCAGGCCGCTTCCTCATTGGAAGTGGGGCCATTATTAGATGGAATGGTTGCACTGGAACAGGCTCCCCAGGGAAGTGGTCACAACCCCAAGCCTGGCAGAGCTCAAGGAGCGTTTGGACAACGCTCTCAGGCACAGGGTGGGGTTCTTGGGGCTGTGCAAGGAGAGGATTTGAACTCTATGATCCTTGGGGGTCCCTTCTAATTCTGGTTATTCTATAAATCTGTGATTCTATGTGGAGGTTAATGGGCATGCGATGGGATTCTTGGGGTTGTCCTGTGCAGGGCCAGGAGCTGGGCTTGAGGATGTGAGTCCCTTCCCCTTCAGGAAGGAATATCACTCAGGATATTCTATGATTCTACCAGCCAAGCCTCTCAGGCCAATCCTCCTGGGAAATGCCAAGAAATGGGGTGAAAAATGATATGGTGCTAGTTAAATTCCGTAGAAAAATGGTCCATAGAAATGACAAGCCAAAGGACAGAGCTCTGGCTGTGATGTGAGGGAGCAGGGAGGGAGCTGGAAGGGTTCAGATCCTCTCCAGGACACAGATCAGGAGCCAAAAGACTCCTGAGAGGGTACAAGAGCAAGGGTGGAAAGGAGGGAATTGGGGGTTTTTCATCACGGAGGCCTGTAAGCTCATCCATGCTCATGCTGCGAATAAAGTGTGCCTCTGCTAAAAATCCTTCAGCCAAGAGCAAAGTGCTCCTGGCTTTCAGTCAGCCAGTCCCTGAAGATCAAATCATGGACCAGCACAATAGGAGAGGGGCGCTTTCAAGGAATGAACATCAGAAATTATTAGGGAAACTGATGGGGCTTAGCCTGTGCCTCAGAGCCACAGCAGGTCCCCAGGGTCCCCTCGTCCAGAGAAAGGATGTCAGACAAGCGCAGAGATGCAGGTGTTGGAATGCTGTTGTGACACTCTGGGCTTCAAAGCAAATTGGATGTAAAAAAACCAGGCCCTGCACAGCAAGGGAACTCAGCCAGGGCTATAACAAGCCATTCAGTAATTTACTTAAGCCACACTTAGCTCCCATCTGCATAGGGAGGGAGAATTACCTCTTTAATCTCATCCTAACCAGGCCCTTCCCCATGGTTTGTGTTGGCCCAGACGTGCTGGAACAGTGGCCCTGGACAAGCAGTGCGTGGCCTCCTTTGTCTCAAGTATTGATAAAGCTCAGATGCCAGGCTGAAATAGAAATGGAAATATATGATTGTGAGCTGTTTTCCATGGATTGGTTTTGCAACCTCTCGCTAGAGCCTGTGGGTAAAAATCAGCTGTAAGCCCCATGTAGGTCAGCCAGGAGGGCCTGTCCTGCGCAGGGAGATGTTAATCCATTTTATCTTTTAATGTTGGCATTATCTCTTGACTCAGCCCATCTCTTCCCCTTGTGATTCTGCAGTCCTGGTCTCTTTTAGGCAGCAGATAATTCAACTAATTTCCCTGCACTGCCTGAGCAAAGAAACCTTAAATCCAGAGTAATGTCCCCAAGCAGTGGGGTCGTGGACTCCCAGACTTTGAGAACACCCTCGCCAAGGAGAGGGCCAACAGGGAAAGTACTTTCATTTTTCTTTAATTTTTCCTTATCTTTCATCAATGAGGTGCTTTAAATCAAAAACTCTTGTGAAAAGAGGTACATGAGGACAACATAGGACCTTCCCAATAACTCACATTATATTCAGAATTTGTGCACTAGACTAAATTAAGCCAACAGGATTAGGACCTGGTTCCTGAAGTGTCTAATAATTTTATTTCCCAACAATTTACAGCAAAATAAAATCAGCTGTTGGCATCATGGCATTGTTGGAGCGGGAGCAGGTGCACCTGCACATGACTGAACGGCCAGTAGCCCTAGGGGAAAGCTCGGCTCCATAAATGCTGACATTGTCCCAGTTGCAGTTTATACCTCATCTGTGTGTGCTTCCCCCACACTTCATCCATTCATCCTCACTCCTTCCAACCTCATGATCCCTGCAGCTGCCAGCACACACCTCCAGAGCATGGAGTGATAGGAGCTGTCAAACTCTCTGCATTTCCCAGGATCCAGACACTCAGCTGCTCGCTGGACTCTCACCTCACGCCTTGGCAAGGCAAAGAGTGGTGTCTGGGTGGTTGCATGTGCGTGGTTGTGCAACCTCTTCCATCAAGTGTGGGGTGAGATGAAGCCCCAGTTTATTAAACTATCCCCAATTACACTGCTCTGCAGAAACACCACCTTGTTTACCTGCACCTCGAGAGAGCAGTTGCTGGGGAAGCAGAAAGCAGGCTGGAGGTGTCTTCTCACCTACAAGGGCAGGTCAGAAGCTGCCACACCTGCCAAGATGTGAAAGCAAAGGGGAAGTTTTCAAAGTGGCACCAAGGGACAGTGAGACTTGCAGCAACCTTCTTGCAAAGAGATTGTTTTAAGACAGGTGCTGTTTGTGTTAATGCAGCCTGAGGATTTGCAAGGAGAACCCAGGGTTTCTGTTACTCTGGGTTGTGCGGTCACATGTTCCACTGCTGCTCCTGCCTGAAGTAGTCACAAAGAGCTTCACACTTCAGCCAATCTTTAGTGATTTTCAGAAGTTCAAAAATGAGAGGCCTGTGCTTCCCTACACAGCAAGGTGAACTTGGGAATTCTGAGATTTGGCCAGAAAACACAAAGGTTCCAACACAAAATTCCAGGAACATTCTTACCCCTGTGGTACAGAGGCCCTTCAACACTGCAAGAGTTCCTCACCTCAAGATCCATTTGGCCTCTGGCTCCTTCATCTCTGAGGAGCCTGAACAGAGGCAGGATCGAGTTCCTTATGTCTTGTGTAAACCAGCATGTCGTACTTCCACCTGGCAGGCTCTTCCTCCCCACACAACCCTTTGTTTCTGCCTTCTTCAGGTCTGCTTTTTTCTCGCTTGTCTTTTATCTTCATCAGTCTTTTCTCCTCAGTGGCCTTTTAGTCCCTTCTCCTTAGACAGCACGCAATTCCACAGCTTAGGTAAAACCCAGGAAAGACTGTTTAGTACAAGATATATATATATATTAGCATAGTGCACCCCTGGCGCTCAGCCCAGACTCAAAATGATCCCTTCATACACTTTCAACCGGCGGCGTGGAACTGAGCATGAATCACACACATCATGGAAATAAATCCTGCCTGTTTTTATTAAGGTCTCTTACTGGTGATACTGGCAGTGGCCTTGTCCCTGTGCATTAAACACGGCCTTTATTAATGTTCACATTCTCCACTTCTGTACAGTGGCTGATTTGGAGGCAAGTCGAGCCATGAGTGAGTGTATTGATGGCACCCTGATTGTTCACTGGTCCAGTTTTGAGCCTGGGTTACAACTGCTGTCTTCATCATGACAGTGCTTTGTATCAGTTGCACTCAGATTGTTAACAGAAGGGTTAATTTGTTCACATTAAAGAACAGCCTGTCTCCTGGGATGTGCTAAAAAACCTGAGACTTTCCCCCACGAATGACTGCTACAAAAACATAAAGGCCATAAAGATGATTAGGGGGCTGCAGCACCTCTCCTGTGAGGGAAAGGCTGAGAGAATCTGGATTGTTCACCCTGGAGAAGAGAAAGCTCCAGGGTGATCTTACTGAGTCCTTTCAGTACCTGAAGGGGTCCCACTAGAAAGTTGGAGAGGGACTTATAGCAAAGACATGTAGAGACAGGACAAGGGGAATGGCTCCAAATTGAGAGAGAGCAGGTTTAGATTAGATATAAAGAAGAAATTCTTTACTATGAGGGTGGTAAGGCAGTGGCACAGATTGCCCAGAGAAGCTGTGGATGCCCCATCCCTGGAAGCGTTCAAGACCAGGCTGGATGAGGCTCTGAGCAACCTATTCCAGTGCAAGGTGCCCCTGCCCATGGCAGAGAGGTGGAACCGGACGGTATTTTAGCCCCTTCCAACCCCAGTCATTCTATGATTCAAATTTCTGCAGCACAAAGAAGGCTGCCTTTGTTCCAGGGGAAGCACGCTACTTATTTTAAACCTTCTCTGCAACGCTGGTCCTGTTGGCTCCGGCCTCGTGACACACAGAATCACAGAACTGCTGGGGTTGGGAAGACCCTCTGGAGACCGCTCAGTCAAGGCACGCTCCCCTGGAGCGGGTGACATGGGAACTCGTCCAGGTGGGGTTTGAATGTCTCCACCAGAAGCCGCTCTGGGTCCAAGCGTCGGGGTCCCCGGCACCCCCCGGACTGAAGGCTGGAGCTCCGCCGAGCAGCCCCAAGGACCCGCCACCCCTGAGCACCAGCGCCGGCACAGCTCGAGGGCGTTCGCCGGGCGGGCAGTGACCAGGCCCACGGTGGCTTCTCGCCCCATCGCGGTCTCCAGGGCCCGACCCTCCCCCGCTCCTGGCACGGCCCGTCCTGCGACTGCTCCCCCGCGGCGCCCTCAGGCCCGGCCACGGCGTCCCGGCCACCGCCGCGCACCCACCCCTGAACGCGCGAGGGCGCTGCCTGATTGGCCGGCCGCGCTGTCACTCCAGCGCCAGAAGGCGGGGCGAAGAGCTGACTGCGGCGGGTGATTGGCCATGGCGGCGGCGCGTGGCCGCTGGGGTTGGCTGCGCCGGGCAGTGGCGGGTGCGCGGGAGGGAGGGGCGGGGGGTCCTGAGGCGCCGCTGTCACCGCCGCGCTCCCGCCAGGCCCGGCCCAGCCCCGTCCGCC